GCGACTCCATCAAACCAAGATGGCGACTCCATCAAACCAAGATGGCTACTCCATCAAACCAAGATGGCAACCCCATCAAACCAAGATGGCAACCCCATCAAACCAAGATGGCGACTCCATCAAACCAAGACGGCGACTCCATCAAACCAAGATGGCGACTCCATCAAACCAAGATGGCGACTCCATCAAACCAAGATGGCTACGGCCCAAAACCAAGATGGCAACTGCCTAAAAAGCTAAAAGGGCAACCGATTAAGACACCGAGATTAGGCTTTACACACACCTGACAGAGTGTCTGCGGGACTGGCGCCCCTCAGGCGTGGACCCCAGAGTGGGCTGATAGGAGCCAAATGTGAGGTCCTCTTCTGGAAGTGTTTCTGATTAAAAAAAAAGATACAAGATTATCCATGTGAAAGAGTAGTTGCTCATAATTATGACAGGAGAAGGACATGGTGCCCCGTTACCTTTCACGGTAAACGTCTTATCTTGCTGCGGCTTCTCTTGAGTTTGTTCCTTCTTCTCGCCCGTCGGAGGTCTCTCCAGAAGACGAGGGGAGGTCAAACTCTCCAGAATCTCATCTAGTTTGGTACGAGGCCTCTGAGGGGTCTCACTCCTGAGGAAAGGAGGCAGAACAGAGGGAAATGAGAGACGAAAAGGACAGGGAAAGCATTAAATAGTGAAGGCAAAACAACATAGAAACAAATATATATATGCCCGAGTTGAGAGATGCTGCTTTCTTTGTGCAGCTTTGTTTTTAGCCGCACCCTGAAGCCCATAGCACTAATTATTTATTGTCTGAGCGCTATAAAAAAGGACAACAGCAAGCGTGCGAACAGAGCTGTTACCTGTCCTTGCTGGACCAAAGCGCAGCCTCTTTTTTCTTCGGAGCGTTTTTATTATCACCGTCAAATCCGAGTGCGTCCATTAGATCCTCCTTATCGTCATCAAATGTGAAATCACTTCGTTTAGTTGCTGCTTTAGCTGGTGAACCAAAAATATAAACACTAACACATTCAGTACCTTGTTTGTTTTTTAAAATAAAGACGTATGTATCATTTAAAGACTCACATGTTGGAGTCTTTAGGATAGCTGTAGGAGATGGCGGTGCTTTTTCACGTTTGGCTTTCTGTGTGATAGATTTAGGCTCGGGCTTAGTTTCATCTGGAAGCAAATCATCAAGTAGATCCGCCAGGGGGTCGTCAACATCTGCAGAGGAAATGAAACTCTTTACATTATGTATACTTCTTCATTATACACCAGGCTGTTAGTAAATGCTAAACAGGCATCACATATGTTCGAATGTCTATGTGCAAATATGTTTAAGTGATGAGGTTTACACATTTCAGCATGTGTTTATACACTGAGTCAGCCATATATTAGGGACATCTGTTAGCACCAATATGACACACTAATTAGAGATTGTTATGTATTGGAATACAAGCATTTCTAGACTTTTATTATAAGAATAGATTTGATGTACTTTACTGATCCCAACATTTGGAAATGGTTTTGTTCTAGCGGCAAGTAAAAACACATTTCACATCAATTAAAAATAATCAGTTAAAAAATACTTTAACAATGGAAAGATATTTGTATGGAGTATTTATAATGTAAATAATATAAAAATATGATATATTGTCAACCTTTTGTATGTGAAAAAGGGTGGACAAAATATTGGAAACACCTTTCAACATAAGGATGGATTTAATGGAAGATTTAGATTGCTTTCATTGTGTACCAAATACATTTGAACTTGTTTGTAATTGTGTGGATATCTGTTGGATACACATCTCTTGTCTAAACTACACACAAAAAACACCTTTAACTACCAACTGATATTATTCAACTACACACATATCTGTACTAATGTACCTTTAGTGCCAGGAGTCTGACCTTCATCTTCACCCCCACTGTCTACATAAATGCAGCAGTTTGAGGAAAAAAACACAGCAACGCTATCAGTTAACAGCTGCTGAGTTATATAGTGTGTGATGGATGGGACGGGGGACGGGGGCGGGCTAACCCACCTGAGAAAGTGAACTTCTTGTAGTTATGCGCTGTGGATGCCGGTGCAGAGTATGTCTTCCTCCCTCCTGTGGTGGGTTCATCTGAGTGGAGAGGGGAAGACAAACAGCTCTCTGTTTCTGCTGCTTTAAATGCAAACTTCAAAGTGGGTAATAATATGAAGCTGATAATGAGGAAATAATGAATTCAAGAACACTCTGCATTGAATTACCTGCTCCCCCTGGCTTTGCTTTACTTTCTATGGTGGATGAGTCTTTCTTTGGCCCTTCGTTACCAAACGGCTTTAATTGTGCAGGAGCTGAGCTGGGCTTTTTCTTTGGTGCAAAAAGGTCAGCATCCATATCATCCATGTCCTGTGCAAAAACAAAGGACAGTAGAGCTGAGGCTATGTGCAAAGAACTAGAAATCTGAATTCTTGTATTGGTATACATGATGACCTACCTTCATGTTCTTCAAAATGTCATTGGGATCTGCTGCTGAGACATCAGAGTCCTGGACAGGAAAGTAAATAGTAACAAATAGACAATAAATAATGCTAGAAATATAAGACTGTATCTATGTGTGTATTTTCATATTTTGGTCTACATACCTCAGCGTCCACACCATCCCTCTTCACCTCCTCTGCTAGCATACTGAAGATGTTATCAGTGGCAGAAGTGCTGGAGAAGGAACATTTTTTATTGCAAGCAGTTGTGATTTATAATTGTTGGCATGTAACTTTGGATTCCTCCAACTTACCGATTCAGTTGCCCACTGCGGGTTGATTTGCCCCTTACTGGGAGTTCTGGTAAGTAAATCAAATAGTAAACACACAAAACTCTTACAATAATACAAATGAAAATACTGGAGATCTGACTACTTACTTCCGTCATCAAATAAGCTGTCAAGCAAATCTTCATCTCCGAAAGAATCTAGGGGAAACCGTGGAGAGGCAGAAATAAACAAGCTTGATACTCTTCAACTTTAGTGTCTCCTGGGGAAATGTTGTCTTGCAGACGTAACTAGACCCAGGTACAAAAAACATAACAAAACAGCCTACATAAAAACATCTAGTGAGAACAGTAAACCTACAATATAGCAGCAAGAAAATGTATGTATATTACATTTTCATTATGATGTCACCAGCTGAATACTACTTTATTTTTTTGTATTCTAATATTGTGTGGCATAGCCTACTCTAAATGCTACAATACATAGTAATACAATATGAGAAATAAACTATGGAATAAAGCATTACAATAATACTTGAAGAACTTACTTTTGGATGGTTTGCCCTTCCGATTTGAAGCCTGTAAAAGCAGTGATATATCATGAGTTATATTACAGCTGGGGGAGATTTACCTAGTGTCACTAAACCATGGACCTACTGCAGATAGCAAATCATTGCATTTTTACAAAGTGATTGAAAACAAGGATTTAACTTGAAGAATCGAGCAAACACTGAGGCACAAGTTTGACTCACCATGTTGAATATCTCCTTGTAGCTTTAATGTTATTGTAGCTAGCTAACTAGCTTACTTAGCTAAATCTGATTAGGCGTCTCCTGTTTCCATTGGTAACCACTCCGTTACACCGGTGAGCTTTCATTTCAAGGACATATTACACGATTGTATTTTGTATTAAGCTTGGTTACACGTCGTATTGTTTCATGCTTTTATACAGCCATGTTTGGTCAGTTAGCAGTCCAAAAGATACTCCGTTAATTTGAAGTAAATTAACATTAAAGCGAATCACACCGCCGCTACACACTGCATTAGATATTGCTACATCGACATGGCTGTCCGTTAGCCATATAGCACACCTAGTTATGCTAATTCATAATTTTATTCGTAGAATTTAAATTATTTTCAACTATGAGCTAGGAAAATCACAAGCATCTGTTTTTGAGATTTACTGCAGCATTATAGTTACCACAACCAGCGCGAGACACACACTTCCTGTTTACAGTTAGCTTTGCATTGTGGGTAGGGTAGTTTTTAAGAGTACCCTTTTAGCGTGCCCTTTGAAGAATAATGTTTCAGAAAATTTGTTTTTTTTTACCTGTGATTATGTATGAAGTTGCTAGTTTTACATTTTCTGCTCCATTTTTTAGATGCTTGCTTACTTTGTGAATCCTACCAAACCATCAGGTTTACCACCAGGTGGCGTCAAAGCTTAGAAGATAGGTCAAATCTAATCAGTTGCAACAAAACTGAAGGGCTGAATAATTTATCTTCTGATGCCTATGTTTAATTCAGTGAGGTCTAGGCCTGATGTTGCACTCTTAATCAGTACAATGATAACCAGTAAGCATCTTTGCTATTTCGCATGAAATGTTTTCATGCGCTCCTTGGCTGGGATTATACCATAGACTGAATATATAAAGGATTATACATGCATGGCAACATCATGCGATTGGTTCAATGAGCAAGGCCAACAAGCTAACATCCTCTATTTAAAACATTTGGTATTTGCATGCAAGGATATTTTTATATTTGTAGATATTCTGTGATGATGGAGTGTTTATTGTTTTATATTCAATTACATTTTAAATGCCTTTTATTGCACTGAAATACCTTTAAGTAGGAAAGTCATCCTGCAACTTCTAGAGAGACATATCTGACACATATAACTTTTAAATTGTATAGCATTCCCATTTGATTGTTGAGCAAAAGTGCATGCAGAATTGATGTACCATGAAGGAGAACACTATTCACTGTAATGTCATTAGTATGCAATGAGAATGCTCTTTTGAAAAGAATATATTGCTAACATCACAGCATAACGACTAAAATATATATTGCCAAGAAACAAAACTGACCAAACTACGGGGCATGTAATTAACTTTATCGTTATACCTTTTTATACTATTTGAGTTGAATGTTGTGGTTGGACGCACTGAATTTAATCTAATCTGGGGAAATGAATTATTCACCGATGCTAAAATAGGAAAAATGTACTCCTTTTTAATATATCATCATTGAATCAATAACAGTTGTTCTTAGTGCATGGAAGAGACACTCTTCCTTGGCATTGAGAAGTAAACAGCGGCACACAAATGCATTTCATTGATTTATTTCATCAGTGGGCTTCTCTTGTGAGATCATCCTTGACAACCTTTAAGTGATCCTGGGCTCCTGCCATTTCAATACTAAACTGGACGTCAGCCCCCATTTTAGAATTAATTAGGTCACTTATGAGATCTCAAGAGACGCGACTCCTAAAGATACATCCAGTCAAATCCTGTCCTCATGCATACATTTAATAAAAATCATTATTGTTTTAAAAGCAAGCAATACAGAACATTTAAGAAATGAATATACTGCTTATATATGCAGAGGCACATAATGTTTTATTACTTTATACCCTGATCAACTTTGAAATGACACAATTCAGTTTTCATGACAGGATTTGTCCGACTTGATCTTCCAAGAATTTGCTCAGTTGCTGTTTCCTGTTCCATCCATGATCAAAACAGGCCTTGTTGTTTTTCGAGCCCACTTTTTTTATTCCTGTTGGGAACCTTGGTGTGATAACAGGAAATAGTATCTGCGGAAATAAGTCTTGATAGCAGAGGCCACTGAGGACAGAAAACAAAACAAATCAGGGTTCAGCTTTCAGAGTTTTGATGTAAACACTTGTGCACATTTTTGACAGTTTGTCCATTTGTTTTCTGGTTCATTCGAGGTAAAATATAGCAAATGACAGATGCTCACCTGATGCTCGCTACACTTGAGATGATGGCCTGTCATGTCTTCAGGGAAGAGGGAGCACAGGAGAAAAGCAAATATGTAAAGTCATGAAGCGAAAAGGGAAAACGGTCAATCAAAAAAAACGGAATCACCATGACGATTAAATCCATAAAACTGTCACCATAAAAAAGATTCAGTTCACATACAATGGTTGGATACAATGCACCCTTTGTTTATTGGTTTATATTGGGATCTTTTAGCTGCATCAAGTGGAAGGGTTGTAGGTAATGTACTCATAATAACCCTAAAGAGATGATGGATTGTTGCTTCTGAATCATTTAGTTTATATAGCAGTGTAGCAGTGAATACTTAAAAGCTAAATGTGGGGCAGGCATCTCAGCTCTTTATGCATCCGTGCTTCTGTAACATGCTCCACTGCTCCACTTTCTCCCCTTGTCTGGAGCCCCTCCTGTTAACCTCCACTAGCACACAAGCCCCGTGCTACACAGAGATTTCACAACACTGCTGGTAAGAAGCTTTGCTGCTTTTTTATAATGCCGCCACAGTGTGTACACACACACACACACACACACACACACACACACACACACACACACACACACACACACACACACACACACACAACTGTCAATATCCCTTTGTCTGTCTGGATATGCTTCTGTGTCTCTGTCACCCACTGACATTCACAGTTTTGTTGTTTATATGCAGTTTTTTATATTTGGAATTTGCAACGTCATTCACTTTTATTTGAAAAATGACCCAATACTTGTTTTGATGATGAGGTTATGTCAAGATCAAACGTTTAAAGAGAAACCTTGAGTTTGAATTCAATTTGAAACAAATGAATCCCTATAGAAAAAGAAGGGGAACTAAGGGAAAAATCCCCAAGAAGCCTGTTTAAAAAACTGGAATCTGGAGAACATGGATGTTTACAATGCAGGGAACACAAATAGAACATGTTATCTAGTTTCATCATTGGAATTTTAAGTGCCACAGTTTTGAAACCATAATCAGGCTTTTTAAGGGAGGATATCTTAACCTCGGCTGTTTGGAAGTGCATTACTAAAATCACTGAAACACCCCTTTGGCTAGGTTTCAAGTGTGGCCAATGACAACGCTCACCTGGTGCTTACAACATTTGAGAAGATGGCGAGCTCTTGTCATGTTCAGGGGAGATGTAACCCAAGGGAATTAAAAGCAAACATGCAAAGTCACGATTATGAAGGGATATAATCATTCATAAAAGAATGACTCATCATGACTCAGCTAAATGCACTTTCTTCGTAAGATGTGGTATCTCCACATCTTTCAAAGGAACCTCGAGTTTAGAGTTAATTTGTTCCAAATGAGTTCCATTTTCAACTAAATGATGGGAAAGTCATCAAAGATCTTTTCTTTCAAAGTGGGGTTTGGATAACATTAGTGTTTACCAATCAGGAAACTCTAAATACGCTATCAGGTTTAATCGATGGAATTTTAAGTGCTGCCGGTTTGATACCAAAATCTAGCTTTTGAAGGGAGAAAGTCTTGGCCTCTGCAGTTACTAAAATCACAGGAAGACCCCCGTGGCTGCATATCCTCACTTTGTTTTCGTTGGATAGATCGTTTGTCCTTTTTTGTCCTTACCCTTTGATGTTCACTGTTTTTCTCATTTTGGGGTTTCTGTTGCTCCATTGCTCTTCATGTCTTTCTCAACACTCTCTTTCTGCCTGTGATAAAGAACATACAACTCACTAGTACATTCATTTCTCAATGTCAACCGCTGCTTTCATGAGCACAATCTGGAAAGAGTTTGGTTAAAGAACTCAAGGTTTTGCTGATTATTATCTGACTAGCATGTGAGCTAGGTGTTGCCACGCTCCATGGTGCTGTAGCCTCGTGGTGTGTTTGCCATTGCTGAGTGAGTGGCTGAGCAGTTCAGGGGGAGGTGAGGGCTGAGAAGATTGCACTTTGAGTCAATTAGCAGCCATGAACTCGAGCGCCCTGATGCTTGCCCCTCTATTCAGCTCTCCATTAGAAGAAAACTGGAATACACTGTTGTTATGTGTCGAGCCACTTAATCCGCACACTGTTGCTCAAGGCGAGCCCTAAAATAATCACTGAAGTTATCTCAAATCAATGATGCAGATAAGTATCACCCTCACCCCCTACACATGGAACAGACATGTGTTAAAGTGTTCATATTTTTTGTATGGTTGGAAGTATGTGTATTTATTTTAATCCTCAATGCTTTTCTTGCATGATGTTGAATTTGTATATTTGAATTTTGACAAAAAGCAGTCCCTTATTTCTGTTTTATAATTTCTAACAGACCGGTTGCAATGACCACCATTTTGTTGGTGCCTGCTGAAAAGCACATTCAGTACTCACGGTGAGATCTTGTTGAAGAAATGGTGCCGCAGGAGGAGAGCGATGGTGGTGAGGACCATCATGGTCGTACACATGGTCCTACCTCCAGCGATCTTCTGCCTTGGGGGGCGATGGTGGTTCAGAGCACTGAGGCTTCTCCTCCCATCGAGAGGCTCAAACTATAAAAGGCAGATTTTGTGTCTCACTATTCTTGTATTTTCTCTTGGCTCTCACTCATGATTGGGGAGATTAGCTCAGTGGATTAGCCAGGATTAAGGCAGGACTAAGGGGTAAACAGAGCATGCTGTTTGTTTCTATTATGAAACAACCCACTTCGCTTTGTCCTCGAAGCTATAAAAAATCAACCTTTATTTTGTCTTTTTTTAAATAAGAAAGGACAGCATGTTGTAAAAGGTGTTTTAGAAATTGGCTCCATGCAGGCCTAAACAGGGATTAATGGATACCAATCAATTTCCCATATATTTAGCAGGGTCTCTCCATAATAAGAAAAGAGAGAGCATTTGTATAAATGGTTTTATAAATAGGGTCTTCCAGCAGCTTATACTTAGCACTGCTGACTCAGAGAGAGCGGTAGGCCAAGCAAGAAAAAGGTAACGTCTAATTATGTCAACACAGTAGTACGTAGAAATGCAGAGGATTTGGATTACTATATATACTTTTAAAAGGATTCAACACTGTGGCAGTAAGGTCTCATGGTTTTCTTTTATTTCAAAATATTGTTAAATACAGATACAAAGGTGAGCCGTAATGAAAAAAATGTACAATCATCACAATTAACTGTTAGAAAATGTATAAATGTCTTCCTAATACCTCATTAAGTGAACACAAGTGGGCACGGACTAATCGAAGGAAACGTCACATGAGATTTAGAAATAACAGTATTTACATGGCAGTTTTTTAGATATACACATTCAGTAGAAGGCACATCCAAGTCAAATGTGACCTCTTCCTCTTGTCCACTGTTTGCATTTACTTTCCCTCTATCCTTAATAATTTGGTCCTTTACAAGAGTATAAAAAACAACGAGGAGAGATTTAATTTCTACGTCTCTCTTAGCTATCAAAAGGGCACAGTACCAGTACTCATTTAAAGTGTATGTCGCATAACCCACGATTATAATAGATTAAACTGTATTCCCCAGATACAAAGCTTCCCATTAATGGTCAGTATAGTCAATTCCTCCCTCTATCATGAGCCGTGGCCCAAAAATGTGAAATTTCTTGTCCAATAAACCCAGACCAAAAGCTTCACCCACTTGAGCTTGAGTGCTTAGACCAGCCCACTTCCTCATAGACGGCATTGATGCCGCAGTACATTGTAGCCAAGAGTTTGGTCCAGGCCGCGGCCACCTCTGGTGTCACAACCTCTGAGAAGGCCTCTCCAAGGACCTCCAGTATCACACCGCTCAGGATCTGGGAAGCACAATACAATCAATCAATGTCTATTTATATAGCCCAATATCACAAATATTACATTTGAACAATGGGGTTCTTAAGCTATCTTGAAGGTCTTAAATTAGTAAATGAGAATACAACTCTAATTATATTGGCATAATGAAGTAACAATGGGCCCTGTGCGCACAGTTACGATGGGTCATAGGGCATGTTACCACACACACACACACACACACACACACACACACACTCTTTTGAAAATCATCATTCCACTATTATGTAATGAGACATCATTTCTTGTATGACATGTGTTTCCTTTTTGCTCTCCCACCTCCTTCACCCAGGCTTCCTAATGGTTTTTACAGGAAAGTCTGGGACCAGTCAAGGACAAAGATAGCAATGAGTGGGATCAAAAATGTGGTATAAAAAAATCCTTGATAAAGGGTTATATCACAGCACCTAAAGATTATAATTTAGTCTGCTCTCTGCCCTCTGGTGGTCAAAAATACATTCATGCAGCTTTAACTGTTTATTTTTTATTTAAGGATTTAAGTTCATCTCTGAGTGTGTTTTTACCTTAAAGTACACAGGCTCCACCTTGTGTCGGAGTGCGTGAGCCTTGCCCAGCAGCTTCAGCACCGAAGCCACTTTCTCTGAGTTGTCGAGGTTCTCCACCAGCGTGTTGAGGCCATTCATAACTCTGTTTGCATGCTTCCTGAGCTGTGCACTCCTCTCCAGCTCCTCCGGTTCCTCGATGTGCTTGAACTGGCTGAAGTACTGCCTGGATGAGGGGAAGTTCACAAACAGCCTGCAAAAGGAAGGAGAGTCATGAGTAAATGAGAGATATGAGAATGAGCAGCTGCTGCAAAGCTCCACTAATCTCCTCGCCCTCAGCTCGATCCTGCAAACCCACGTTCATTTTCCTCTGAGCTGGCAAGATACCATCAGTACATATCGGCACTGACATGATAATGCTGCATATTTTCCCTTTAAGTGCTTGCTTTGCTTCACTGTGGTGATAGGCCTACTGTGTGTGTTGTGCACCGTCAAAAGTGCTAAGTCATTTCAGGTTCCTTAGGCGCATTCACACCGCAGTACTTTTCCCACAAAGGTTCATGAGAACTCTTTAGTTCTCGTTAACTAAGTACGGATCGCGTTCACACCGGAATAAATTCCTGGGGAAGGATTAGGCAAATGAAGCCACTGACGTCACTTCTTCTTCTTCTGCTTTGGGTTTACTGGCAAGCCGCATACAACTCCACGGCATATACTGCCACCCGAAGTCCCCGGCCGGAAGTCCCCGGAGTTGGGGACTGGCTACTCATTTTAGTTCCGGCTCTTTTTGGTGTGAACGCGACATTTCGGAACTATATCGGAACGAAAGTGGGAAAAGTACTGCGGTGTGAACGCGGCTCTTGACTCCCTTCCTGTGTTCTCTCCCACGCTCATCAGCCCAGCCCCGCCCCTGATTGTTTTCACCTGTGCCCAGTTATCTCCTGTTTATATTCCCCTGTTTCCCGTTGTTTGTTGTCAGTTCGTCTTGTCCTGTCCTCATGCCAGAACTCTGCTCGTCAGCATTTGCTAATCTTGACACATGCCTGATTCACGCTCCTGAAAACTTTTTGTAAATTTTGTTCCTCACGTTATGAGTGTTTTTTGTTGAGCCTTATTGAAGCTCTTTATTTTTGTCACCTCGCAAAGAGTGTTTTTCTTTTTGTATATCCTTTTTGGCAAATAAAAGTATATTGCTTATACTTTATCTCTGGCTCCCGGGTTGTGCATTTGAGTCCTTTTTCCCTTGTGAATCCAAGTTTGTAACAGTGTGACACCATACATTTAAAAAGACTTAAAAAATGAACAAGAAAAGCTTCCAGCTGCACATAAATCCTAATGCTTATGACAGACATTTTGTATAGCTTTCAAAATTACAGTAAAACAGTTTAATTTGTTTGTCAGGACATTGTATTCTACCATGATGTTACTACATACTTTGGCACTTTACGTGATCATACAGTACTTACATTAATTAAATATTTTTACTTAAAAAAAATACAGGTGATTATATTAAAATGTGCATTAAATACGGTCACTTTTATGTGTCAGATAACATGTGCGTAACAGGTTGTTTCATAACAGTTTCAGATTGGCCTTTTTCAATGTTACCTCATGGATTTATATAATTTATTCTTCAATGTGAACATAGTGTAAACGTCTGTGTGAATTAGGATTTATAAGATTCTAAACCAAATCGGTATCCCGTTATCAATGCTAATATCTATTTGGTGTTATGTTATCTCTTGCGCAGTTGAAAATGCATGGCTAAAAACAGGTCATGCTCCAGAAATCCGGCCTCTGGATTTAGACAATCATCTTTGTCATTTCCTGCTGTGCCCCCTTGTGAAACTGTTGGCAAATGTGTCTGAATTGTTCTGTAAAGTGGCTTCAATCATGGCAAATTAAAGGGAAGGTGAAAATGATTTGTGATGTCTTGTTAGAGAGGGGGAGGTGAAGAAAACAAGTGCTCAGGTTACGATGAGTTCACCTGACAGCCAACGCTTCATGTTTCATTTGGCTTACATGTCAAATGCTTTCTGTTCAAGTTCCGAGTCTGGATTTTAGCATTCTTACAGCCTGCTTTTTCTGAGTACAAATAGTGAGTTCAAAGACGTTTTCATTGGTTTAAGTCCCTGATTGAACCTCAAAGGTATCATAGAGAATTAGCAAATATAACTAAAAACTCCCTCCATCCACTGTCTGGGAAGAGCGCCAATGCATCTGGTTGCTGTTTTCTAGACCTGTTGTCCCATCTCCCACTGTCTCCGCAACAACTATCGCAAAAAGGAGGGAAATATTTTTCTGTGAAGCATACGGCTCGATATTAGAGTTAAAACGCCTGAAATGGGAAGAGATAGAAGCTAAGCAAAGTGTTCTTAGTTTCGTAGCAAACTAATGAGGAGCCGTGGTGTTTAATCTCTCTCTCTTGTAATTGCATGACCTGTGGTTGCATATAAATAGCCTCATTAGTATTTTTATGGACTCTTTATCCTTTCTTATCTTTTCGTCGAGACTAACTGAAGAGTTAAATCCAGAGAAAATGTTTAATTTCAGAGTCATAAACTGCTTTGGAGTTTGAAAAGGTTAAAGGTCAAGTCTAGGTTACGGAGAGCGACAGTGATTTGCTTTTTACCACTAAAAGGAGAATTTAGCACAGTCACGCGTCGCTTATCAAACGATTGTCATTCCTCAAATTCCTGAAAGGTCATAGGGTGTTTGTGGAGGAATGTGGAAGAAGAAAGTGCATTCAATTAATTGTTATAGTTTCAATATGCGTATCAAAGAGTGGGATAGTGATTTGATGTGTTTAAGTGCTGCAACTAAATCCTAAAAGTCAGTAAGCTGTAAATATAATCGTGTTGCACCCTGCATGGCTGCTAACCTCCCTCTCAACTTTCACCTGCTGCAATCATAGGATTATAAAGGCAACAGCGTGACTTGCCAGACACTTGTCAAAAGAAGTCATTGTGCTCACAAAATGTATCCCGGTTGTTTTTCCCACATGTTCCATCCTTAAAGCAATAAAAACAGTGACACCAACACCCTCAAACAGGATTGCATGCTAAGCATGAATGATTAATGAACAATATTGAGCAACACATGTGGTGATGTTGTGATGGACTCTTTCATCCCATGATTTTAGACAAAAGAGGGACGTTTCGGAGCACTGACTGCCAGTGATGGAGTCAAGCTGCTGCAGGTTCCCCGGCCCTCTGAACAGGCATTCAAAACATGACCCGCTCATTGGGAGGGAACCCTTTGGGAGCCAAAGATGTCTGACTGATGGATTGCAATGTTTATCCTCTGCCTCTACTATTTGAGGAATAGGATTAAGAAAAAGGAGTAGAGGCGAGAATATCAGATGCAAAAATAGTTCCTTTTTTTTTTACAGCCTGGAAACTTGTAAAGTCAACGAGATCAGAATTTGGCAGCTGAATTCGGAGGGAGGATATAATCCCTGGATTTACATTGATTTAGGTGGATATTTTTGCGGTTTTCTGTGGCAGAAAATTATCAGTGAGCCTCGCAGGTGCAGTTATATTACTGAGGGGGGAAGAGACCGAATGCAATTTTTACCTTATTGCTGGTGGACTAATTAAAGTTGAGGAAATTGGGAGAAGATTGATGAAAAGTCAGCATTCAAGACTTCTATTATTGTGAGAATTAAAGAAACAAATATATATTTAATGTAATATGTTATTCCTTGCACACTTAATGTAAATAATATCCTACTTTTATATTTTTGCTGTAATTTGGCCCTTCACACTGTTTATTCGGCAGATTTGACAGTCAACATGTATACTTTTCTGTTATGTTTTTTTTCAATTTTGAGATGTTTATATGTTATATTAGTTTATGTTCTACTTTTTTTATATTCACATTATGTGCAATGCCTTGTTTTAACAGAAAAAAAAGGAAATATCTTCCTAACTCAACATTTCAAAACAGGAGAGTAAGACTAAAGAAATACCTGACGAGTATGGCCACCCCGGCGTCATCGCAGTTCTCGTAGACTTTTGCCCAGGAGTCCTGGATCATCACCTTCTCCTTGTCAGTCAGTGGGCTTGGTCTCTCCAGGTGGTCCCCCTCTGCCTCTCCCTGCATCCTCTCCATCTGGGAACACAGAAGTGCAGGGCTGAGCACGTGCAGAAGGCAGGGCTAATGAGAGAACCCAACCTCCTTCAAAATAAACACTATATTTATACCTTATCTCTTGTATATGTCTCTTTCCTGGTGAGAGAGGATGGAAATCTGTTTCCCTTCCCCCCTGTTTTTTTTCTTCTCAGTGAGATGCTTTGCTCTCCACCTCTGAATCTCTGCTGAGCGAGAGTGTGAGTGAAGAACAGCCTGAAAAACACACAAGAAACACACGCAGCGAACAAGGAGGAGCCTCTACTCTCTCTTTTATACTCTCCCTTTCCTCTTTCTCCCTCTTTATTTCTCACTCTGCCCACCTCACCTTTGTAGGTGGTGTTTGATGAGAACATAATGAGATAAAGAACAAATCCTTAATAAAAGAGTCAGATATGTATTACATGGAGGCTCGAGCGTGGATTCAATGAAAGATTATGACGTTGGAAAACAAAGATAACGGACCACACTATGACCTTTTACCTCCATCATCACCATCCAGGAGATTAACCTGTGATTTCTCGCAAAGCCCTGCATGTAGAAACACAAAATTAAAAAGCATGACGTCTATCAGAAATAGGGCAGATTTCTATTTCATTTGGTTACTCCTGTGCTTCTGACAAGATACAGATTATATGAGCGTGTTATCACTCAATTTTTACACTTTCCATTATATTCACACACCCTCAAGAAGAGAGCCACACAGCTCTCATTGAACTTGTTCATGTTTTTTCTCTTTGTTGCAGCTGTGGATATCAGTCAGGGAGATCTTGGTTGTTTTCAAAACTTGAGAATGTTCTTATTCAATGTTCAGGGCTGGCCCGGCACACAGGGTCATTTACACTGAGGAAAACAAACACGAGAGCAGTTAAAAGACATCAGATGTTTTTACAAAAGCCAAGATTGAGGTGATATTTATTGCCTGACTGGGGAGGTACAATGTACAGTAGGTGCCAACAACGTACTGACCCATATCAAACATTTACAGAGTCCTCAAGAGCACACCAATCACAATCAAGTTACTGAAAGAACTTGATTGTGCTTTAGGTGGAGTCATCTAATATTTCCGGTATTGCAGAGTGTTGAATATCTTAATTACCTTTGTGAGTGACTTTGTGAGAATTACATTTGTCCTCTTGCCCGCCAGCAGAATTAAAGATATGCCAGCTAACCACATTGTAATTAATGAAACCATGGGAAGTTAAAGTCGAATACAAGTTAATCTCAGGCACTCCCATTAAAATGTCATAATTCCTGTAAGAAGTGCACAGGTCATTTTGGATAAACAAACAAAGTGAGTTGGTCAATGATTCTGGATCGACACGTTCTGCATGTATCACTTTATCTTTCTGCAGAAGATTTCGTATTGTTTAACAACAACAACAACAACAACAATTACCTCTGTTTGCACCCACAGGGCTGGTTCAGGCTAGTAACATACAGTAAGGATAATTCTAAACTGTCAACACACCCTCCTCAAAAAGGATTAAGACTATAAGACATAACTGTACTTGGTATCCAGGGCTAATGAGTAATGACATCTGGTGGACAGTTAGAGTATTATTGATAGGCTGCCAGAAATGCCATATTTACAATGAGTAAATGATTTATAGAAAGGCAAATAGTTATCTATCTATCAACAACTGAAGGCAATAATCAAATAAATAACAGGGGCTTGTTATGACTGTCTGCCTTTGGTTTTAACTAAACTATTAAAATGTCATCAGTCCATGAATCTTAGATGATCACTTTATTAGTTTATCAGATCAGTCTAATCATTAATTTGTGCACACATTATAAAATAATAAAGTATAAACAATACTTCTTGAGTAAATGCACGGTTTGAGTATTACATTATTTAGGGATTATCTCACTCAGATGTCTTTCAGTCACACTGGCACACCTGTGTGAAGTATTTAGTTCGGAGTAAGAACAACATATTAAGGAATTTATTTTTGCAACTACTCTAAAATAGAGTTGGACTAATGGTTTTATCACAAATGGTAAATGCAGAGATACTTTCACTAATTTGATATACTGCTTTTGGATATCTTAATTTATGAATATTTGTCAAAGTGTATTTAATAATGGATTAAAATGAATACGCAGGTTAATAAAAGTACATCAAAATTGTATATCAGTACAGTACTTGAGTAAAAGTACTTTGTTACTATCCCCCACTGCTAATTTGACGCAGTATCATCCTCAAACAAATATATATTCCGCAAAGCGTATTTGTCAAGATTGACCCAAAGGGAATTCCGTAGTTCAGTGCTAACACAGTTGTAAGGCTATAGTGATACATTGTGACAGTTATGTACCGTTTTTCCGCAAGCAATTGGACAAATAAGTAAAATAAACTCAGTATTTAATGTTTAATTTTAAGTTTAGCTGTAGCTGAGTTTATGTCGCACACTGGAGGTCATTTCGTGTGATTTGCTAACCTAGCGGTACAGTGTATGGTAGGTAGCTAGCTAGCTGTTTAGCTAACGACAACGTCATTAGAAGAGAATCAGAAACAGACGCCGAGACAAAAAGGAGCCTCTGCTGTCAGTGAGAAATAAACCACCTGCTCTGCCACGATGAACGTCGCTAAAAGTGGTTATCGTGTCTTTTCCGCAAACTCCTCCGTAGCATGCACAGAATTGGCAAAGAAGATAACGGAGTAAGCATCTTTTCATTTTATTCCAGCGTTGCTGACTACTCAAAATGTTGTATACAAATCTGTTCCAAACGAGAGCCTGTCTAGTCATAAAACAATGAAGGAAACAATGAGCACCTCACGATTGTGTATTTGTATCTAGAAAATTATATTGAGTTGTCTCTGTGGTTCATGTCCTTTCTACTGTAGATATGTATATTTACTTGCTGCTGTTTATTTATTTGTATTTTATTATGTTTGACTTTTTTACACCTTTTTTAAAGATTTCAATTGCTGCTGTAACAAAATATACATATCTATCTATCTATCTATCTCACAGGAGGCTGGGAGTTGAACTGGGGAAGTCTGTGGTCTTTCAGGAATCGAACAGAGGTGAGGAGAATATTAAAAACACATTCCTGCTAACAACAAAAATGTTTGGTAATTATAGATTTCAGGATTTCTATTCTATAGAACCTTTTTTGATAGTACCCAATTAGTAAAGGATAGAAAACATAATTACAAGTGAGTTTAGAAGACATTTTAAACAGGTTATTAATTTAATCTGCCTGGGATTCTTAGACAGGAGTTCCACAACTTGGTCAGCACGAGGTCAAGTGTGGTCCCTTTAAAGTGGCTGGGAAAATAAACATGTTGAGTGAGATTTAAAAAAATCAGTAAGGTTGCTATACCATATTTTGTAGATTGCTGAAAAGCTTAACACCTAGCTGCCACCATGCTTGACCCCCACCCTCCTTCTACACAAACAACTGCACTCAATTCATAGACTACCTCACTTTACTGGTTACCATAACCAGGTATGACTACCTGCATAATACTACAAACAGAACATGTCCAGTGCAAATACCTATCATCAGTGACTGATACATTTGCTAAATTCTTCCCATTATTTACACTTATACGACTCTGCTTTTATGGCTCTTGCATAGTTGTCCTGTGGGTTGCACTACATGTTTTTGAAGGTGAACAGTTACTGACAAAGTACAAAAAGTCATCAGTATTAGACGGCAGTGAAATTAAGATGCAGCTTTGCTTAATCAAATGATTGTGTCCCTAATTTTCCTATCACAACAGAAACTAGAGTGGATGTGAAAGAATCAGTTCGTGGACAAACTATCTTCATCATCCAGACCATACCGCGGTGAGTTTAACATCAGCACAAACTACAGCTTTGAACAGTTTATTTGGCTATCACTAAACATGTCTTTTTTATTATTTTTTCATGCAAACAGAGATGTAAACACGGCTATTATGGAGCTGCTGGTAATGGCCTACGCCCTCAAGACCTCTTGTGCAAAGAACATCATTGGAGTCATCCCTTACTTCCCCTACAGCAAACAGTGCAAGATGAGGAAGAGGGGCTCAATAGTTAGCAAGTTGTTAGCTTCAATGCTAGCAAAAGCAGGTAAAGAGAACACAACTCATCAGCACCTGTGATTTGTGTGTGCCTGTCTTTTTATCCCTCTCCATCAGTAGTGTTTCATTTGATGTTCACAAATGAACAGTTGACTGTGTACCTGTGTTAAATGGGGGGGGAAGACCCGGCTATTAATCTGTATTTTACCCCAAAGGGATAACACATATTATCACCATGGACTTGCATCAGAAGGAGATCCAGGGCTTCTTCAGCTTCCCAGTAGACAACCTGCGTGCCTCTCCTTTCTTGATTCAGTACATCCAAGAAGAGGTGATCAATCCATTGTCTTATCTGTGTGTGTGTTTAAGTCTAAGTGTTGTTAACCCCACCTGTTGACCAAACCAATCAATCACATGATGTAAATATTGACATCCATTTTCCTTCATTCTGTCAGATTCCTGATTACAGGAATGCCATCATTGTGGCCAAGTCCCCATCAGCAGCAAAGAGGTAACTGAAGGATACAAATAAACACATTTAACCTCGGCTACTTCTTGCCTTCTGTTAGCATTGTTTTGATAAATTACGTTTCAACTGTCTTCATTTAAAACAATAAAGAGATTTATTTTTGACGGCCCATCCAGAAGTTAGCATTGCAAGGGCTCCCTCAACAAAGAACGATTACATTTTTCTATTGGATTTTAGAATATTGCAGAAAATAAGATCAGTGGCAAACACACATTTATTATACATGCACAATTTGTTCAGCAGGTTATTCTTCAAATATGAACACTCTCTTTATAATAGTGAAAGTGTAAATGCAAGCACTATAAGTAAAAAGCTAACTTAAAACAAGCTACATCACGGGCGCATGACTAAGCTAAATGTGGCTAATTTAGATTTAGTGGTCTTATGTAGTCACTTGCTAGTAACGGCTGTTCTAATGACACATGGAAGCTTCAGACCTTCTCCAGTTGGTAACCACAGATCATATTTCAGGCATATAACCAAAACATGTAAAAGAAAAACCACACACTTTCTGGGTTTTCAGTCTCATGCCAGAATTACCAATCCTACACATGTTCTTTTGTGTAAATGCCAATGTCTTTTGAAATCCATGTGACTAAATATGTGTTTTTATCTCTATCGTCATTAGGGCGCAGTCCTATGCAGAGCGCCTGCGTCTGGGTCTGGCTGTGATTCACGGCGAGGCTCAGTGTTCAGAGTCCGACATGGCTGACGGCAGACACTCCCCACCTTGTGTACGCAACACCACCGGACACACGGGACTGGAGCTTCCTCGTAAGAACACCCATTTCTATAGAATGCTGTTTTTTTTTTTTTACAGATCAATAGGTCAAACACCGGCTCGATTTGACCCTCTCTACAGATAACATATTTAACTGTGTTTCTCACAGTTAGATTACCTTTTTATTTGTCACACCATGCTGCAATTAAGCAAGGAACTTCTTCTTATTCCTGCCAGTTAAATCTTCAAGTTTACGACACCCACAGTCCGATCCAGCTCCTATTTGTGCTAACCGGTTCGGACGAGTCTCCCGTTTCTCACTCATACCATCCGCCACATTCCAAGGAATTGATTTCTCTGTGTCCCTGCATGTTTTAATTCCACAGATACAACACTACTTCTACTCATGCTGCATCCTCCGCCAGCTGCAACTCCTAACTTGCAAAAAAGTGACATGCTTAATAATCATAGATCATAGTTCCTGCCTATTTCTAAGAAAGTAGCTCTATTTTTTAAATATTTATACTATAACGTGACTCTGGCATACCGTCTTTCACATATTTGCGGGGTTTATTCCCGTAAGGCCTTTTGGAATAATTCCGTATGAGAAACGATTGTGTCATTGGCAAATGACTCCGACGTAACTGCGTCCAGTATTCACTTTATTATTTAGTAACAATATTTCTTACTTGTGTTCACCCTTGACTTAAAAAATCCTCCTTTGAAACTTCCTAAATATCTTAAACTATAAAAAGTCTTTTCAAATCTAATCTGATTAGTTGCTATGAAATATTTTTTTAATCTCTGCCTACCTAGCGGGAGGATTTTCCAAGTCTCGGCATCATGTGTTTGTCATGTCAAATATTTGTGCATTTGTGTTAACGTGGTGTTTATTTGTTGGTAATAGCAGGCAAACCACAAGCTCCGTTCCCCGGCATAGAGCTCCCAAGTACGACCGTAAAATATAACTTCCATCTGACTATGAAATGATTCCTCTTCAAATGGTTCCTCAATTGGTGCATGTGTAGACAAAGGGTTTGTGTTGCATGTTGTGAAAAAACAGTCTGGATTCTGGAGGGGGAGTTTGTAAAAAAAAAAAGTGATTTGTAATGCACACAGGCAGGTTTGTATTGAGAAAACCTCTTGAATCGGCTACAGTATGCTGCTTGCATGACTTGAAATAAGCGTTTTCTCCACCTGTCTAAGATTCCAGACAGTTGTTCTACAAGATGGCCAAACTCCTCTTGGTTTTGTTGTGTTCTGATTTAATTTTGAAATCCATCAATCAAACCAGAACCATGCCAAACGTTATCATTTGACTTTTTTTTCTCCCCTTGACTATCTGGACTCATCTTGCCAATCAACACATGGTGCACCCTGATTACCCCCCCCC